GAATGGAAGGACAAATAAGAGAGTGAAGACTGCGTTAAAGTACTTGCACGAAACACTTGAACCACTACCAAAAATTATTAGAATGGTTGAAGCATGGTCAAAGTATATTGTTACGTTTTTCCTATTCTTTTGACACGAGTTGTTGCGTTATTTTCTTCCTTCACGTTCGTACGGGGTTCGTAGATTTGGAGTGAATAACGACGACACTTGATAAAGTATCGAAACAGACATTATTTATATTAATCAGGACAGCTCCAATAACTTTTACAGTCGTCGAAAGATCTACTATAACACGCTGTAACAATCACGACCAGCCTTCACACTGTCAGGCAATAACGGTGGAGACAGCTTCCTGCAAAGCCCCGCTCTCTTTTCCGGAGTACACCCCCTCTCTGCTTGGTCGTTCTCGAACTCCCTACTCCGATACTCTCCACGCTACACTCGCGATGCCTCGACGACACACGAGCACAGCTCCCGACTCTTCGGTTCAGTCTTTCCCGAGCTCAACACGCTCTCTCGACAATGCACTAACCGCGATACACTAAGAGACTCCTTCGTTGAACTCGACGACCCACTCGGCACTCGCTGCCCGGCTGTCAACTCGATCGACTCCGCAGGGACTGACTCGCTAAATGAGAAACCAACTCGATACTGACTCTCTCGCACTCTTTGCGAGGCACACATACACTCGATGAGAGACATACACTGACTGACTGCGGACCAGCAGGGTTTATATAGCTTTCGGCCTGTGTTCGAGAACATTCTGGGCTAAACAGGTAAGAATTCGTTCCAGAAGGTTCTCCAACCGTCCATGGTATATCGACCATTTTGTCGCCAAATGGGCTATTTCTCGACAAATGTGGCAACCCCACCCTCCTTGCTATTTTATGGCAACCCTAAAACTGCTTCGCGGGGAAGCCATCTTACCGCGCCTGTACATTTCGTAACACTATTATGGAAGCTGCTGCGAATATTAAACATAGCTTTACAGTCGTCGAATGATAAAAGATGCAGTTTTTTATTACACAGAAATTGCAGAGAAGAGGCAAACGAAAAAGAAAATATGCAGACGTATATTATATCTATTTGCAGTGTTTGGAGAAGAAGGAAAAACACCATAATTATCAAGAACATGCGTTTTCGTATAGTAATTATTTCTAATAGAGACATTATCGATCGTGTATATATTTCGCCGCTCTATTAGTCGGTTTCAAAACAGTTCAGGAACCAATTACCCGAACTATGCATGGTGTTGTTGTATTTGCCAAAATTGTATTTTTAATCATCGAATTAATCTCCCTATTATTTATAACTGAAATTCCGCTTTCTTTCAAGCTAAGTGATTATTCGCGAGGTGAAAATTTTAAAAATGTCCTTTTTTTATCATAGCGAAGTGAAACTTTTAGGACATATTTTAAAAAGTGTCGCATAGAGCAACATCCACAAGCCACTTTGAGGCTTCATTTAGATAGATTAGTTACCCACTCGAGATAACCTTGACCGTATAATGTGTTTATACTTTGCGAAGTAGCTGGAAAGATGACTTGCTAAAAATATTTTCGAAATATTTTTCTGAACAAGTTTCGGCTTACGGGAACTAGGTTTTTATTATTAAAGCAATGTTCCCAAAATTATTTACCTCATAATACTTTTTCTCGTATTACTGTACTTCATATTTTAAGTACGAAGAACATGATATTTAATAAAAGTAACACACAAAACGTTTAAAAAATCGCCCTATTGAGCGTAATATAAAATCTGAAAGCTTGCAAATTTCTTTTCTTTTTCATGCTCCAGTCTCACCTATCTTTGATGCATGGGGGGTCAATGATGTATAATCAAGTGCCTTTGCAATTAAAAAAAAAAAAAAAAGGAAAAAACGCCAAGCACCTTCTTTAGCATTTTTCGATTGTACTCTTCACACTGCCCGGATGAGTCAGTTTATCCTTTTTTCTGATTCGTCTTGAATAAGACAAAGAAATTTTTAGTTGCGAAATTTGTTTTATTTTGAACCTGCTTATATCTGGTGGACATCTTTAGTCCTTAATATTAGTTTTGCTTTTGTCTTTTGACACCGTGCGGGAAAACAAAATTAGCTTCGATTTGAGTATATGTAACACTAGCATAAGAGACATTCTGGTGACCTCAGAGACCACGTGACTTATGCATGGCTAATGTAAATAAACAATGTAGATGACCTAGTCCGAACAGATCGCGTGACTTATGTATAGCTAAACAAACAAGGTCATTCTTCCTCTTCTCTTGGAGAATGCATCTTATTAGGTATTTGTAACCAGAATTTCTGTCCTAACAACTTGCTTTGGACAGGAAAACCAACAAAGTCACGTGTGTAGTATCAAGCTCAAATCCAGACGATTTGAATGCATTCTTTTTTAAGCTTTATTTGTTTATTTATAGTACACTTTTGTTTAATAAAACCACCAAAGTGTTATAACCCACTTCCCTAGACCACCACACTACGCCTGCGCGATAAACAAACTCCACGGCGTTTTCTTGTTCATTTTGACATCCATTTTTTTAACTCCTAATGCATCCATCATGTCAAAGGCGATGAACAAACAAGAGTCAAAGGAGTAAGAGTGACACCCCTTAAGTGAATAAGACGGATTTGGATTTCGTCGTGGAATTCTCTTCCTTGTTCTCGCTGCTCTTTTTTTAACTTTTATTGCGATGGTAATGTCGCGAGATGAAAAGGGTAGACCCTCGGAAATAGCGGCTGAGATTTCTCTTCCAGTTTTTGTTAATGCACTCGTAAAATTCTTCGTCAGGTAAATAACTTGAGAGTTTTTCTTCTATTCTTTTAAATAAAATTTCCCGGTGCATTTATATTGCAAAGAAAATGTCAGCCTTTTAAATCCGATGTGCACTAATGTTCATACGTTTGGGAAAACATTGTGTTCATTAAAATAAGTGATATTTTGTATTCGTGATAAAATTTTGTATTTGAAAATCCTCACCAGGCAATAAAAAATGCATTTATTACTATAATATGTCGTATGCAGTTTTAATATTGTTACGAATTTTGTACATATGTAAATAACTTAAGCGAAATAATGTGGGGGATTATAGTATCTTTTGTATAATGTAACATGAAAAGTCTGAAGGGGGTGAGCTCTGTCGAAAAAAATAGGATTACAGGAGCAAGGCCAATTAACATTGAAGGAAATTGTTACCTCGCCAAACTGGCTAGATACACCAAAGCTAAAGATGGTTTTTGGCGACTAATTTTTGTCACCAAATTTAGCGAGAAATCCCCAAAAGTCACCAAACTTGGCGAACATTTGACAGCATTTTGGTCCGGTCCCTGTAGGCCCACCAGCGGCCGAGTATTAAAGTCACTGAACACTGGTAGTTCGGTCCGAGGTTCGAATCTCGCGAACGGACTGGCTGCATGGGCGTTTTCGTGGTTTTCCCCATGTGTAACGTATATACGAGCCAGTTTCCCTTAGAAAGTCCTCCACGAAGGCATCCCTCCCCTTAGGCAGATAGCCCTCGTGTGCTTTGGCATAATTAAATACACCACACCGGTCCCTGTATAACTGTAATTGGTACTGTCCCTATATATAAGTATCTGCCCTATAACATAATCTGCCTTCTAGTAATTTTGAGAAATGGAAGATACTAGATATTTCTCGGCGGCCGGGGGAAAACTATATGAGGCCGAGGCCGGAGAAGACATCAATTCTGAGCTTTTCAGTTCAGAGTTTTGACTTCGGAGCAGTGTTGCCAGAAAATTTTCAACTAAAGTAGCAAAAGCAGGCTAAAAAAGTCGCAAATGACGTCAGAACACGTGATTTTTGTGACGTGTTAGTTACGCATGCTCACATGACCTCTAACGTCATCACAAATTTACCGTCTATTGGTTCTGCAATTTACAAACCGTATTCGATTCTTAGTCGTTTTAATTACGTATCTTAGCTTTAACGAAAATTTTTAAAACTATTTTGCTCATTTTCAATTGTTTAAATATCCATTTCTTTTTAATTAATTTGATTTAATTTGGTTTCGGTTTTTAAATAATATTGCGGATAATCCTTCTTAAGAATTCCTCATTTAGAGACTGTTAGCGCTTTTGTATTATTTTCTGAAATTGCACTTAATTTTTTAATTATCGTTTTTTTTTTTTTTTTTTTTTTTTTTGCTTAATTGTGAACATTTTAATTGAGGAATGCTTTTCAGTGATTTTTCCGTTCTGTGTGTGTGTTCAGATTCTGTTACTTAGAAAGACTTGTTCTTTCACTGTTAATTTATTTTTTTGTTATTTTAAAAAATGCCGTTACTTTGATTTTCATGTCTTCCGTTGCTTAGTTCTTAGCAATATTATAATGAAGAGTGTGAATTTAATTAATTTCTCTGTTTGGGTACCCAATATATGGCGCGCAAGCTGCAACTTCTTTGGTTCGATTTATTATCACCATAGAACTGGGGGGGGGAGAACTGAAAAACAAAATGCACGGAAGAAGAGGGAGGGTAGTGAGAGTTCACGAAGCATTTTTTTTTTTTCCCTTTCTTTTTACTTTTTTCACTTCCCTTACCCCTTTCCCGTTATAGCGGCGTCCGGCTGTGCAGCCTTCAGCCTTGAAAAGGAGAGCCCACATCTGAATAAGATTGCCAGATGTAAACTTCTATTTAATTTTTTGAAACCTCACGGAAAATGTTTCCGCTGGAGCTCTGTCCCGTTTAGAGACCAATCAGACGAAAGTTCTGCTTTTGAAGGATCACGTGATCCCAATCTGAGCGCCAACCGATTACTCCCAGTGGAACTGTGTCATGGCACACCAGGGTCCTGGGCAGAAAAGCCCTACCCCTTGTAGAACAAGTTAAAAACTTCGAATTATGATAAAAAAATAACCTCTTTTTGGGATTTAAGCCTCTTTTTATTTATTTACTTTTATTATATAAGTTAATAGTAAGTTCATATTTTAAAATATGAATTTAAAGTTTTAAGCTGTATTAGTGAAATGCTCTTAATTTTTTAGTTGCTGGGATATATTCTGCAAAGACCCGAAAGCCGTTGAGCTGGTGACTGAGTTCTAGAAAGCAAGGATTATTACATATAGGAGCAAGTGCAAAGAATGATAGTGCCAATAATTTAATAGGAATAGTCTGCAGAGAGGATGCCGGTGTGCTAAGGTAAGAAATATATACAATACTTTACAATGAGATACATATTGTTGCAGGGTGCAATTACGTACATAAACATAAAAATTTGAGTTATATAATTCAATCAGTTGATGTATGCATTACTATGCTATGAAATACATATTGTTGCAGGGTGCAGTTACATACATAAAGACATAAATTTGGGTTACACAAACTAACCGATTACTGTTTGGCGTTCAAGTCTTTGTAGTAAGTGAAAATGGTAACCCAGCTACGTGGGTTTCCTGGAAATGTCCAGGTTTTGAGAATTATTCTTTTCGGCGTCAAGTCTCTCGTAGCCGAAACATAATGTGATTGAGACTTTAGTCTGAAAAGGAGATTTTAAGTTAAATCACTTTTAAAATTTTTGGCACCAAATATTACTGTCCTCTATTATATTTAAAGAAATCAAATAATGAATAATTTATGAATGAATGCATGTTTCTCGCATTGAGAAAAGAGAACGGTACCTAAAGCCACCCAATTTTGAATAACGTAGTCTTCCACCCAAATATGGACACCTGGAAGCCCAAATTTTGAATTTTAAATTTGTTTTATTGTATAATTCATATTTTATAAAACTTTAACCAATTTTTGATTAACATTTTCAATGATTTCAAAGCAAGGAATGGCAACACTGTACGGGAAAAAACATTTTTATCTCCATTGCGAAATACTGTCTATCGGAAATTCTAAAGATATGCTGTTTTTAAATATTTTATTGAGTATTTCAAATTTTATAAACGTACGTTTGTACCCACAGACGTCACGAAAAATCTCTTCTGAATGCGTTTTGGGGAAGAAGGAAAAAAAAAAAAAAAAAAGGAGTCTTTATTTCTGTCCGTGCGTAAAGATTTCAAGCAAAAATATCATTCGAATGGGTTACAAAGCGGTCAAAATGGATATTTTCTTTGATATAATACAACCCAAACCTATCGCGATTACAATACTTCTTTCACTTCATACAAGGAAGTAAAAAATTTGTGTGGAAACCACATGATTTCCTAGCACGACCTATTAAATTATGCACACTTTTTTGCTGCATTTCATTTAATCTTATTTCTTCGAATTTCATTACAGATATATTTCACATTAAATTAGTTCAATTCTCACTTTGGGGCAAGGCAAAAATGGATAAAAACTCAAAACATCTTCATTAAAAATTGTAAAATACAGGAAAACATAAAACATCAAATAGGTTTAAAACAGTTAAAAAAAAAAAAAAAAAAAAAAAAAAAACAATTTTTACAAGTAAAATTAAAGTTTCTACGTAAAAACAAGCAATTCGGACAGCGCTCAAAAACTTGGCCCACAAAACTTAAAAGTTTATTTTTAGTTCCACCCGGCAAAATGACACTGAAGTTGGTGCACTAACTGACTTAATTCATTATTCTACGAAGAGTTTCAAATGTAAATAAATGGCGGCTTCGTTAAGCTTAGTTCCACTTAAAGAACTTTCAAATTGTTCATAATTCTGCAAGTATTGCATGCAAATTAACTAGAGGCATAAAAACCCTAACCAGAACATATAAAAACAACATAATTCAATCACTTTTAAAGCACAACATGCACAATTTACCAACATAATAAGAATAACAAAAGAAAAATTAAAGAAACTGAGCTCACCAAGCCGGGTAAGAGAGTGGGTATGTATATATACTATATGTTTGGTGTGGCCTATTGCAACCAAAAAGGGAAATGCACAGCTACTTGTTATAGCATTTTCATACATAAAATTTCAACATTCTGAGACTACCCATTTTTGAGTTATGCAAATACATACATATGTACAGACATCAAGGAAAAATATCTTCTGAATTCATTTTACATTCCGTTTTGGAAAAAATCTGACGTGTGCATCACACGAATTCCTTGTACGGAATATTAAATTATACCCATTTTTCTTGTATTTCATTTAAACTTATTGAATTAAATCTACTTCGTCGATATCGCATAAACCACAATAGAATAAATGCACTCTTTAAAATTCACTATATTTTTTTACCATAGCGACACTCTGAACCTAGGTTTACTTAACAGCGTTAGATTTCGTTCATTTTTTTAACTCAGAATGCATAAAATTTATATCATCTTAAGAATTATCTAATCGTTGCCACATGTTCTATTCAAATACTATAATAAATCTAAAATGATGTATAAAAAAAATTAAGCAAAGAACAACAACAACAAAGAAACAGTTTTTCACAGACGATTCAGTATTTCTCATTCAATTAATTCACTTCTCATTTCGCGAAAAGGCAAAAATACATTAAACTCAAGATGTCTGTATTGAAAATTAAAAAGTAAATTTTAAACACTTATTTCCAGAATGGATTAAACATGATTTAATATGCAATAATAAAAGAAGTCACTATCTTTGTTATTGCGAAGCTTACTTTCTCTAGATTGGCAAAAAATCGACTATTTTGCTGTTTAAATGTAAACAAGCAATGGCCGCCATCGAAAAATTATTAGGCTTAGCGGCACTTAAACAATTTTAAAATTATTGATAATTCTAAAATATTGCATACAGATTTACTAAAGGCATAAAACCCTAACCGGAAGATAAGAACACATAATCAATTATTTTTAAAGCAAAAAATGCACATTTCAAACATATAAGAATAAAAAACTGAGATCACTGAGCAAATAACAGAATGGATATATATTATATATATATATATATATTATATATATATATATATACAGGGTTATCCAATTAAACTTCCCCACTCAGAGGCTTGAGCAGAGTGTTGTAATGGGTCATAATGTGATGAAATTTTTAAAACAGATACTTCAGATCATGCGCTCGAGATTTATTACACAAAAAATAGTACAAAGTTGCCGATAGGTGGCGCTGTAACACTAGTAATGTGCATTTGCAGCAGTGTGATTTGCAGAAATAAAGCTTCTGCGCAAGTATCCAAAAACGGCCCTACAAAAGTGGAAGACATGCCTTGCACAGGCAGTTTTCCAAGGAGGTTAGAATAGAAGAGGGAAGGTTCACTCAAACGGTGAAGCTTGGCGGCCATCTTCCTGTTATCACCGTGACTTGTGCAAGGAAGTCTGTCATTGCAACATTTTTTCTTTTCTTTTGAAGCATGTCAGCTGTATTGCATATTATGCACAAATAGATTCTCGAAAAAATTCCGGGCATTATTTTTCAGTAGCTATTATTTTCTTTTTTATGTAATATGACAACTATGTCAAAAATATCACAAGCATGTGGTTTTCTTTCCAGATGTGAAAAAAAAGGACTTAAAATAGGTTATTTAATATAACTATAATCAAAATATATTAAATACATTTTAATGTTTCTGTTTATAGCTGGTATCTTCGTTCAGATACAATGCTATTGGTAGGATTTAAATTGTATAATTTGAACGTTTTAGTTAATTGTTTTATAACTTTCATGAAATTAAGAAATCAATTGTTACTATTTTTTATTAATGTAAAGGTGTAAATAAAGCAATCTTTTCTTTATATATTAATTATTATTCATTTTTTTAAGTAAGATAACTGTTTTGTTGTTAAACATTTTTGCGTAAACTTACAAATTTCTGGGCAGTATAGTGATAAAATTAAGTAAAATATTTACACAATTGAACTGTGGAAAGATGTATCCAAAACTTATAAGTGTATTTCTGCAATCAACTTAATTAAAGGCAGTTTCTTTGAGATTAATAAATATGAAATGCGCATAAACTGAAATCAATGAATTCACATAAATCTGTTTTATTTTTAAAGATTTATTTTCTAACCTAAGCAAATTGAAATATGCAGAAAATCGTTTTTTAAAGGCTTTAATGTTATGCGCATGCATTTAGATTTCGAACTATTTCTAATAATTTGCTGTACATAGTAAATTATGGATATCATCTTTATTACTTTTAAAACAAAATTCAAGAATAGCGAGGGATTTCATATAATTTAACATATTTTTACTGGAAAATAATGCACGGAACAGCTTAGAAACACGTACATGTCACTGCCGTAATGCAATGTTTTGAAGTCACAAACATGGACGCCGCTTTTTCGCGGAGTTTCATTCCCCGATAGTGGAGGAAACTGCGAACCCTCCCTCCTTCTATTCTAACCTCCTTGGTTGTTTCCAGCTCGCTGATGCACAATGGCGACTTTGAAAGACAAACCTCTGTTTGTGAAACTTTTCTACCAGAATGAAGAGAACTCCTGTGCTGCGATAAGAGCATTCCGTCCGCTGAAGATCTTACGCCGAGGACCAATGATACCACGCGCTCTACGAGACATGATGAAGAAGTTCGAAAGAACGGGACAGCTGGGAATTTTACCACGTAGGAGGACGACAGGTTTGTGGAATCTGCATGCGTAGAAGACGTTGCTTTGGCGGTCGTGGACCCCACTAGCCAATCACCACATGGTGTTGTCAGTGTGCCAACTGTTTTTCGTGCTGTTGATATGCCCTATAGGACCGTCTGGCGTGTGATGCGTCGAATCCTCGGTTATTTTCCTACAAAATCCATAGTCGTCATCAGCTGTCCGACGGGGATCCTGTAGTTCGGGAAACATTTGCGTTGCAGTTCCTTGCCAGAATGGAAGTCGATGCTGGGCCGTAAACATCCTTTGGACGGATGAGGCCCATTTTCACCTGAATGGTCAAGTGAATACGCACAATTGCCGCATTTGGGCAAGTGAAAACCCGCGCGCAATCCATCAAGTGCCCTTGAACCCTCCAAAGGTTACTGTATGGTGCGGTTTCACTGCAACATTCGTCATTGGGCCTTATTTTCTTGAAGAGGTGACTCCAACAGGGTTCAAAACCTTCTTTGTCACAGGAAAACTGTATCAGAACATGTTGACAACGTTTGTGATCCCTGAACTGCAACAAGTGGCCGCCTCCAGGAGACGATATTTATGCAGGATGGTGCAACTCCCCATATTCTTCGTGGCGTTCAACAGGTGTTACGGGCAACTTTTACCGATGCACATGTGATCAGCCGCTGTTTCACTACAGCTTGGCCTCCCCGCTCGCCAATATTTCACGCCATGGGACTTTTGGTTATGGGGATTCTTAAAGGATCGGGGTTACCGAGAACACCCAGTGACCTTGGCACATCTGAAAGACGCAATTATTCGACATGTTCGTGGAATTCATGTGGACTTGCTGCGTTCCACTGTGGAACACACTGCTTTGCAAATGGAAAGAGTTGTGGAGAACCACGGCACACATATAGAACATTTGTAGAATGTCTTGTTGATCTGCAGCGCCACCTATCGGAAACTTCTTGTACTAATATATAGATATATGTTATTTTTTTTTTTTTTTTTTTTTTATAAATAATTTCGAGCGCATGATCTGAAGTCTGTTTTTAAATTTCATCACATTATGACCCTACAACACCTGCACAGGCCTCTGAGTTGGGGAAGTTTAATTTGGATAACCCTGTATAACCATATATATATTTATATACTTTTAATACCAGATTGCAAACAAAATACGAGTTGCCCATCTACATGTTATAGCAGTCCTATATACAAAATTTCATCGCTCTGAGGCTACTCATTTTTGAGTTATGCGAGATACATATGCACAGAAGCCACGAAAAATTCTCTTTAGAATTCATTTTAAATTAGTTTTACAATTTTTTTTGGGGAAAGGGTCCTTTATCCTATCCTTACGTACAGATATCACGCAAAAACATCGTTAAATTGCATTCGATAGCGGTGAAATGGATATTTGCGTTGAAATATGATGCCTGAAACCTTTCGCGATTACAATACTTCCTTTTTACTTCGTACAAGAAAGTAAAAAGAGACTTTTGTTCTGTCGGTACCGTACAGGTATCACGCAAAAATATCGTTTAAAGCAGATATTTTCAAAATAACGGTCAAAGGGGATATTTTCGTTAAAATATGGTACCCGAAATTGTCTCGATTACAATACTTTCTTTAATTTGTACAAGGAAGTAAAAGTGGAAAGATTTAATGATTCATTTTTCTCTGTTTATGAATAAGGCAGGCGCCCCTGTGAGTTTACATAATGATAAAACTGGCCTTGTCTAGTATTTAAATATGAAAATGGCAAACAATGAGATTGTTTTTTAGCATGAAATATAGACAGAAATTTTACTAAATAGGGTATGTATGGATATGAGAAAAGCAGAATCTGCAAAATAGATAGAAGCTAGTAAGCTTTAGAAAATAATTCAAAAATGTGTGTAACAAACATACATAACGCAAAAGTTTTAATTTTCACGTAGTATTTTTAAGTTGACTCATAAAGACTTTTTAAGTTGACACATAAAGTCTGACTTTATGTGTAACGTGTGTAATATCATTTTATTTTTTTCTGAGATATTTCTGATTAATCCCTATTGTCTCATTTTCTCTCACATGTTTCGCCGAACCATACAAAGTTATACAAATTTAAACGATTGAGACACAGTTTAGCAACAGAAGATTAATTTTACTCGACGTCTATTTGAGCAATCGTCGCTGCTTGGCTAAAGACTGAATGTGTGGAAGGAGGAAAAAAAAAAACAATGGTGATTGGTAAGTAATTAAAAGGTTTAGCTATAGTACAGACCAGTGGTTTTTTAGACTTCGTCGACTTACGGGACCCTTAGCACTATGAAGGTATTTTCTTCCATCCTACTGTAGAAAAATAGTCCGCATACTTAAAGTGCCCCTATGCCGCACAAACACTATACATTTACAAACATCCAAGCCTTCTCCGGGATTCGATCCCGGGCACTTCGCTACTGCAGTCAGCGTCGCTAACCTCTATCTCGGTTGGACAGCATAAAAGATACCTTGTTGTTGTTAACAGCTAAATTTGTTGTTGTTGATGGAAGTTGGGCTTGATTTTTACAATCCTGAAATTTAATTTTAAAAGTTAATATAGTTATCTGTATTTCGTTATTTAGTTTCTCTGACTCCATTTTTCAAATTTTACAGACTGGCTGTAATTTCGAAATTAACACACGTCTCCCAGGTGCGAAATTTTCTGACTGCAATCCTGTTGCTGACTCGCGGACAGAATTCTCAAATAAGCCTCGCTGATTCTTTTGACTCTCCTCTGCATCAACAGGTGGCGCCACCTCCTCGATCTGCTTTTTCGGATTCTCCTATTGCCATGTCAGTTTTATCATGGTAAATTATGTGATTTTCTTCATTTTTTCTTTACCCTTTAGCAAGATCTCTCGCCTTGGGACCCATTTGGGTTATTTCAACACAAGGCCCAGTGCGTGCTCCAGTACAAAAGAGTACTGCGGCTACAGTAGAAAGCTCTGTATAACCCTTCTGTATCCAAGTTCTTAGTTGTTGTTAGCTCGGATCTGACTTCGGATTTTCGGGAGAGTTTCGCCAAGGCGTTTGGTTACGGAGCACCTTTACAAATTAATTACAACTGCTTCCACATCACAATTAAGAAAAACGAATTAAATAAGAATCAGCATTAGCTAAATAAAAAGGAAAGAAAACCATTATGGGTCACGCTTTCCATTGCTGGTGTAGCAGCGTGAAATGGTAACTGTATGAGTAATTTTGTAGAAAATGTAAATTGTAAAGTGTTTCTTTTGGGTATATCAGTTTTTGCCAAGCTATCAGTGGTTTTTTTGAACATTCAATCCATTACGGTTATTTATAATGCACTAAAACCTGACATCGCCTGCATTTCTAAATATCTTACCCGTTTAGGTTTTATGCCTATTAATAATTCACGTAAAAGCTTTCATAATCAGGGGACGCAAGTATCTTGCCAAACTGGTGAAATAAGCATTTATCTTTTCGATTTTTTTTTTATTAGCCCAGAAGTTAGTTAATCCCGAAACGGCATTTTGCGTTGAATCACTTTTCAAATTATTGCCACCAAATATTATCGGCCCGTATCACTATTCTAATGAAGAATCTGCATGAATATATATTTCTTCCATTACGAATTTACAGCGGTACCTAGAGTTATCAAATTTGGAATAACATAGTCAGTAGCGTATCTAGGGTGGGACAAGGGGAGGACATCTGTTCCCGGGCGCAGCATCCAGGTGGCGCAAATTTGATGTTACGAAATTTTAAAATGAAATGTTTTCTATTCTTGGCGCACAGAAAGGGGCGGAAATTCTTCAGTTGTCCCCGGGCACTGAAAACCCTAGCTACACCTCTGAACATTGTCCTGCACCAAAGCAGGGGCACCTTGAAGCCCTAAATGGAAAATTTTTTTGTTGTCTCTTTCACATTCTGTAAAACGAATTTTTGATTAAAAAACTCAACAGTTTCAAAGCACGCAGTGACAGCACTACAGGGTGTAAAACATTTTTTATATCCAGCGCGCCAGTCTATCTATTGGAAATTCTAAATATATGATGTTTAGTCGAAATGCTCTCGAAACATGTGCATGTCTGTAAGTGAACAAAGCACCCGTTTGAACGTAATATACAGAATCATAATAAAATCTTAAAGCATTCAGATTTTAATTTTTTTAATTTTATTTATTTTTGCAATTGTGGCGCTAGCCGCATTATAGGCGTTGGCCTATACTAATAACGCCAGAAGCGGTAGTGACTTTATTATGGAGGTACCTAATAGATGGGCCACCGATTTATGTATTAGATTTATATATAGCGTTGTTATAATATAAGTATTTTGACGCAAAATCGGACTTTTTCTGAAATGAGATGACAAGTTTTTCCCATTATTCAATTCGAAGACTCAAATTATGCCAAACTACCAAGTTTTGTGAAAATCGCACGAGTACTTTTTAAAAAATTAGCTCTTAAAATATTAGTTCCTCGGTGTTAATTTAATTTAATATATGTTATTCTTATTTTTATTAAACTTGCTTGATTCTCTTCAGAATTCGAGTTTCGGTTTAATGCAATATTATTCGATTTTTTTTTATTTTTTAAATTATTTAAACAGTTTATAAATTTTTCGGAAAAACCTTGGTATTACAGCCTATAAAATTTTTAACATCTCTTAAAGTAGATGTATTCTAGGCCACGTGGAAAAAATTAGTTTTTTTTATTCAAATTTTCTAAATTACGTGATTACTGAATTTACATATGTATGTTTGAATTTGGATATTTGTTATAAGCGATGATAACCAATGCAGTTCACGCACTATTTTTGAAAGTATGAACCGGAGTATGAACATGACCTTTTTCCCGCTCATCTGCAGGCAAAACAGGAATGAAAATTAGTTGCTATAAAAGTTCGCCAAGTAATATTCTTGGCGCAACTGAAAAAAATACGCCAAGATAATTTTGATTTCTCGGTAAATTTCGCCAAGTTTTACAAAATTTAATATTTAGACAGAATTTGAATCGAGAATCGAACTGACAAAAAACTCAGTCTTTCAGAAAAGTCCGATTTTTGTCAAAATATCTACGTTAGATATTGCTATATTAAATCTAATATATATCTAATCGCTTAGGACATGGAAAACGCAATTTGAATTTCGTCCTCGCCCAATGAACGGGATATATAGAGAGCTGTCTTTTGGGGGGGGCAGTGTACATCCATGCCTTCTCCGGGATTCGAATCCGAGCCCCCGATACGGCACTCAAGGTCCCTAACCACTTTCCCGTCTGGGCGGCTTCTTCTAAATTTATTCAGTATCATAATTTCATTTATTGTGAAAACTGTATATAACGAAATATGTATATTAATCTCTTAAATCATCTTCGAGTATTAGATATGCGTTCAGTTTTATTATTGCAAGAATTGGGATATTTTATTTATTTTAAAAGCAATTACTTCCAACTTTTACAGCGACTCATAACAGTGCTGGGAAATTACCAAAATTTGTTCCCACAAATATTTTGTAATTTAATCCGCTTGTGACAAACTTTCGTCTGTTTCCACCTTGCGTGCATATTTAAAATGGTTAATGGTACATACTGAAATTGATGATTCTTGTATCATTTTTTCTAACTGAACCAAAAATCTGTGAATATTTAATATAAAAATTTATGACGAAAACTTACAGATTTTTTTTAAATCTTTTATAACTCAATCCAAATAAAATTTAACATGAAATTCTAGCTTTTGGTTCTTCACATGTTATAGAAGCTATATTGTTACAACGTACAGGCGCGTGACATAGCTTCCCGCAAAGCAGGTTTAGGGTTGCCATAAAAGGAAAGGTAAGCCGTGTTGCTACATTGGCGAAAATCGCCATTCGTGACAAATTGGCGGATATGCCATGGACAGATTGAAAATTTCTGACAAACTTACCGGTTTAGCTAGGTCTGACACCAGCCAAAAGCTAATAACCCGCTGTATGCGGCGGTAGTTAGTATCGGTGGTGTCTTCTCTAGCGACATGAGAGTGACAGCGGGCAGCGAGTGCCAGGGGTTGTCGAGAAAGAGTTTGTAGTGTATCGGTTAGGGATCGTCGAGAGAGAGTGAGCTCCGGGAACGACTGAACCGAAGTCGGGAGCCGTGCTGTGTGTCGGGAGTGCACGCAGTTGTGCGTGAGAGTCTCGAGAATACGTGGGTTCCGAGAACGACCAAGCAGAGTCGGGAGCTGTACTCGGTGCTTGCCGTGATAGCCTGATAAAATGGAGGCTGTGTCGCTGATTGTGTCAGTCTGTATAGTAGTTCTCGACGACTTTAAAACGTGTTTGGAGCTGTCATGACAATACTGCCAATAAAGGTTGTTTTGATATACATCAAGTATATAGTATTATTAACTCAAATCCTCACGAAACCCGTACGACGTGAAAGAAGAAAACGCAAAATATTCAATAGGCTATAATTATTGAGACGAATGTTTTAAACTGTGCGGCAAGGTAACATCTGAAGATTTGTCACAAGTGGATTAAATTAAAAACTATTTTGGCACACAACTTCTGATTATATTCAAAAGCGTATATTAGTAGTCAGCTGTAAAAGTTGGAAGTAATGCTTTAAAATAAATAAGTTATCCCAATTCTTGCAACAGTCACATATTCGAAGATCTTATGGGTTTTACAGTGTATCAGTCCCCTTAAAGTAAAATTCAAGAAGTGTTTTTTTATATGATGCAAACATTACCTACAATACTCCAATAATTCTATCAAATTTCAAATGTATCCTCTGTAATACACTGCCTATGAGAAACAAATTTCACGTCTCGAAAGCATTGTTGCAGAATTTTCAGTTTCCAGGTAAATCTGCAACGATTGAGTACTAGATGTACAAATGTCGAATTACATATTGCCCACCGCTTTTGTCTTGTAGAATAGGATAACAGACATCATTCAAACAGGTACTGGTTAGAGCAAGGCACATTAGGCATTACTAACTGTTAAGCTCCGCCGAAATTTGATAGAGAGCACCCAGGGGCCGGTTTGAAGGTCTCCATCTTCCCTGCCACCAACCACTCGGCAAGTCTTTCGGCTCGCCATATATTTTGAATGTCGTTTTGCCTTACAGAAAGTATACCCTTACAAACATCCATGCCTTCTCCGGGAATCGAAACCAAACCCAGTGATACAGCAGCCAAGAGCACTAACACTATATTAGGAGTGAAATCTTATGAACAGATGGAACATAGAGCAATGTATACATAATCATACAAAATACTACAATTTAATTTCCATCTCATAATTTTGCTTAGTTCCAATGGTGTAACGAAGAGAGCGATCCACTTGGGGCAGCACGCATTTTGGCTAATATTTTTCATGTGAAATATAGCATTATAGTAATTCGTTGTATAGATTATCAGTGCAGAAACAGTGCAAAAACATCTTCCACATATTTCGTTCTGATATTTTGTAATCTTTTAGTGTACATGGAGAGAGAGAGAGATGGCAAACGGATTGTCTCGAGTAGCAATTGCACTAATTATGCCAGTGAATAGTTTAAAAGACGATATACAGATAAAAAATTACTAATTAATAACGATCTAATGTATCTCAAAAACAATTTGCTACTTTTACCACATCCAGAAAAGAATCTTTTAAAGAAAGCAATAAATGATTCAGATGTAATATTTATAAAAATTTCTAAATGGATGGCACAAGTTGACACTACCTGGTGTTGAAGTGGTTAGCATATTGCACAGCTGTGCCACAGGTTCAGGGTTTGATGCCCAGGCTGGGCAAGGTTGACTCAGCCATTTATCCCTATAGTGGGTCGATAAAATGAGTATCAAGTTCGC